ATTTTATCAAATGATCATAATCACATCTATTCATTTTACAATCCTGCTACTAGGATTTTATTCAGACTAAAACCCCTTTAATTCGGGTGAGAAAGCGGGGGGGTTTTTTGAGTGGTTTTTGCACATCCTGTCATGCCGGTGACTGCGTGCTGCTGCATTAAAGTTAACGATTAATCGATTAATTGATCGTTAATTTAAACGACGATCGATCATGGAAATGATCGAAAATTGACATCCCTAATATATATATATAGTATATATAGCTGCCTCCTCATTTTAAAACACCACCGCATGCCACTGATGTGATCATCTTTCACAATAACAGTATTGTATTAGTATGTCCTCTCCAGGTTTTTTCACAGACTGCTCGCTGTGATTTTTCTTGCAGGCTTTATCTGCAGCAGACTTGAATCTGGTGCTGTACGTGTGTGAGACCATTGACTCCCAGCAAGTGTTCGGCCAGCAGCCCTGTCCACTCCATCAGGCCGTCCTTCTGTCTCTCATCCAGCAGCTCTCCACCAACCTGAGCACACGCACAGAACTCAAGATCAGGTTTGTTCCCTTCGACTCCATCAGTCAGTGCAGTCATGTTCTATACTTTTTTTTTTTTTTCCCATATGTCCTTTATATGGAAGTTATTCCTTCAGCTCCCCTCGCAGTTTGAATGAGTATGCGAGATCATGCACAGCGCTGTGCTTTTAATGATTAAACGCTTAAGTATTTATTTATAGTTCTCTGTATGTTGTACGTGATCAAGGGCAAAATACAGATTCATATCACAGGATATTAATGCTTTAAGACTCAAGACATCGTCTCTTTCTCCTCTTTAATTCCTCTGTGGATGACCTTGTCTTGAAGGGGACATCCGCTTCTGTGGCACTGCTGCATTGGGCTGCAGTTATTAAAGTGCTCTACAGTCTGGGCTGCATTAGAGTTCTCTGCTGGGGGAAAGAGACCAGCTCCCGTGAATCACAGAGTAATGCTCTGCCTGTGTGCTGCCAAGTCCCTTTACTGCTATAACTGCTCTGTCTGCCAGTCCTATCTCTTGAATTGCACTCTACAATACTAGTGTTTCATACGGCCCATATGTGCATAGACATTACCATCTGTAAGTCTGTCCTCTTTCTGCATGGACATAAGGATGTTATTTTAAGAAGGAAGGTGCATGCTTTAAGTTTAATCTATTTTTAGTGCCTGAATTAATATTTACAGCAGTCTGCGCTTTTGTTCATGACAAAGAACATTAGATAGCTCCATATTCAAAATTATTTGATTTGAAAAAGTTTGATTTTCATAAGCATTTTATTATGACACTTTTGTTTCATTAATAGTTACTTCAGTGTATTACTTCAGTTTTTGCTGCTTACTATTTTTGTGGAAACAGTGATACTATAATAGTGATGCTAACTGCCATTAAAAAATGTGGGGTAAATATAATTAAAGAAAGAAAAGCATGTTCAAAAGTGACAGTATAGACATATTGTTACGAAAGATTTCCATTTCAAATAAATGCTGTTCATTGAACTTTGTTTATCAAGAAACCCTGTATCCTGTAAAATGTAAACTAAGCAGCAAAACTTGATTGATAAATAGGAAAAAAAAATTGATAATAGGAATCATTATTATAAATTCAGCATCTACAATATCTGATGTATAATGAATGTATCTTGAACCAAGTGAACATTCAAATATTTGTGAAGGATCATGTGATACTGAAGACTGGAGTAAAGGCTAGGGATGCATGATATTATCGGGCCAATATCGGAATCGGCCGATAATGGCTTTAAATGTAAATATCGGCATCGGCCCGATATGATCAAAGACAATAGAATACCCAAGACATGTCACTCGTGTAGTTTTGAATGGGGAAAAATGCAACGCTCAATATGGCCGCTCTATCGAACGAAGCCCCGCCTTTTGAGCAAAAGAGTCAATCGCTAATCTGTAAAGTCAGCGCGTCACTGCCGTTAGAAGTCCTGGTTTCTATAGAAACAGTCAGCACTCGGAGACGTGCGCTCAGGATTTGTCCACTGTTTGTTTGTTTACCTGAACACTGTGTAATGTGGCGCTCATGGCACGTGACGCTGAAAAGCAAGTCTGGCATCAGTGCAACAGCTGCATCACGTTATGTAACGCTTGGTTAAAAAAAAAAAAAAAAGAATACTCAGTAAAGCTAATATTAAAATGGATTGTTATGACTTTGAAATCTTTTTGGATTGGTGTTCCTGGCCTGGGTATTTTTTGTGCTACAAGAAGTTGCCTTTTTTTTTTCTAGCGTCACACAGTATATTCTGTCATTCCACCCATCTCTATGTGTCATGCTCCGGAGTTAAACATCAGCTTTTATCTTCGCAAATAAAGGTTAGCAGAATACAAGATGTGAACAGTGATTTCAATGTACCGGGAATGTAATATCTCTCCGGGCCAGTAGATTATAGTTGAGATAACATCACTGTGGGCTTAAATGTGTTGGAACAGGGCCTACACATGTGAAAATAGAGCAAATTGCTATGAGGCATGGAAGCTTAGCCATCTGGACAGGACTACACCGTAAAGTCCTGGGGATATTAAGGTCATTGTATTACATTTCCTTCATTTTTTTTTCTTAATCGGAAGCTTTAACTTAATGATCGCTTGTGAGGTAATTAAGATGACCTCTGTGCAACATGCAGCTCAAGTCGCTGGTGGTATCATACACCAGTGTCTATTAATTTAAAGAGGCAGATGGAGAGATTTCCCAGATAGTTTTCCAGACAGGTGGCGTTTCAGTAATCCTTGATGGACTTTATAAAAAACCCAAGCAGCCTGGAGAGAAAAACAAAAAAAGCTTGCAACGCTCAATATGGCCGCTCTATCGAACGAAGCCCCGCCTTTTGAGCAAAAGAGTCAATCGCTAATCTGTAAAGTCAGCGCGTCACTGCCGTTAGAAGTCCTGGTTTCTATAGAAACAGTCAGCACTCGGAGACGTGCGCTCAGGATTTGTCCACTGTTTGTTTGTTTACCTGAACACTGTGTAATGTGGCGCTCATGGCACGTGACGCTGAAAAGCAAGTCTGGCATCAGTGCAACAGCTGCATCACGTTATGTAACGCTTGGTTAAAAAAAAAAAAAAAAGAATACTCAGTAAAGCTAATATTAAAATGGATTGTTATGACTTTGAAATCTTTTTGGATTGGTGTTCCTGGCCTGGGTATTTTTTGTGCTACAAGAAGTTGCCTTTTTTTTTTCTAGCGTCACACAGTATATTCTGTCATTCCACCCATCTCTATGTGTCATGCTCCGGAGTTAAACATCAGCTTTTATCTTCGCAAATAAAGGTTAGCAGAATACAAGATGTGAACAGTGATTTCAATGTACCGGGAATGTAATATCTCTCCGGGCCAGTAGATTATAGTTGAGATAACATCACTGTGGGCTTAAATGTGTTGGAACAGGGCCTACACATGTGAAAATAGAGCAAATTGCTATGAGGCATGGAAGCTTAGCCATCTGGACAGGACTACACCGTAAAGTCCTGGGGATATTAAGGTCATTGTATTACATTTCCTTCATTTTTTTTTCTTAATCGGAAGCTTTAACTTAATGATCGCTTGTGAGGTAATTAAGATGACCTCTGTGCAACATGCAGCTCAAGTCGCTGGTGGTATCATACACCAGTGTCTATTAATTTAAAGAGGCAGATGGAGAGATTTCCCAGATAGTTTTCCAGACAGGTGGCGTTTCAGTAATCCTTGATGGACTTTATAAAAAACCCAAGCAGCCTGGAGAGAAAAACAAAAAAAGCTTTAGCCTAGAATAGCTTAAAGAAATAACAAACATGTTCTGTTAACACGGCTGTCAAAGAACAGCAGATTTGTGTTTGAGGGCTGGAATGAATGACTTGTGCTGGCCACATACACTACCATTCATGTTTTTTACTATTCAATTAATATTTTTATTCATCAAGCATTTAAAAGACTTTTACAATGTTATGAAAGATTTCTATTTCAAATAAGTCCTCTTGAACTTTTATCCAAAAATACTGAAAAAATGTAGGACAGATTCTCTATTATTATTAAATATTTTCAAAATCAATAATAAGAAATCAAATCCTCATCTTTTAAAATCAGTACATTAGAATGATTTCTGAAGGATCATGTGACACTGAAGACTGGAGTGATGGCTGCTGAAAATTCAACTTTGAAAAGCTCAGACCTCTTGCACTTTTTGAGTTTAATATTAATACATTGTTAGAGGTCTGGCCCAGTGCAAAGTGCTTCTAATATTAATGAGAATTGGCTTCAAAGCAAACTGGTGATCGTAACAGGAGAGATTAAAGCAACTTAGCCTTCCTGCAAGAACACTTTGATAAAATAAATGATGTAAATGGTTCCTCCAGTTGAATCAAAGTCTGATGTGAGAGAAAACATTTGCTCCTTCATGACGCAGATGATTGCATGATGCTTGCGATGATGTTAGCAGGTATTTTACAGTTGTAAGCCAAGAAACTCTAAATGCCTGGAGAAAGCAATTTTTTGGGTTCCCATTCATTTCAAAGGCACTTGTTCGGAAGTACGCAATTTGAAATCTGCCAGTTTTCCTCATGAAGGTTTAGAGGCAAGTGACATAAAAAGCTTTAGAAAGGGAAAAATGTAAATTTCATGCTTTTAAGGTCCGTGGAAAAATATCTGCAATAATATGAAATATTTTTGACTTATGAAAAGCCGGTTTCATCAGAATATGCAGCGACTTTTGAATGCCCATCGTTGATTTCCCATCCACCCACCCCCCCCACATGACCCCTTTCTCTCATTTTTCCATAGCTATCTTGAAGATGCTGTGATGAACCTGGACCATGGAGATCCAGTCACCAGAGACCACATGTCTGCAGTGCTGTCCCAGGTACGACAGAAGCTGTTACACTTCCTGCAGCAGGACGCCCACAGCCCTCTTTGCAAGCGTGCTCGGCGCCTCATGATGATGCTGCAGGGCCTGGTCAATCACTAGAAGAGCCCCTCCGGATGGCGCAGCTGACATCTTCACAACCTCTCAGTCATTGTTCTGCAGTCTAGTAGACGACCGTCATGACCTCATACCACCCTGCTGTTCAGTTGCTTTATCTGTGCTCTGCAGCTTATTGGCTCTCTCAAGAAGCACTATTGGGAGTTGTAGTCCAGGCTTGGACTATATATTGGTGGCTTTGGACTACACCCCCCCC